GTGTGTGTGGACAATGTATATCCATTTTTGAGTTTTTGGACTATTCACAAACCCCAAATGTCGAAAAAGTACAAAGCGATATTTCCAAATTCCAACCAAATTGTCCATATATTAATCACATCGATGTAACGCCACATGAGCCTCATTACCTTTCATAATTTATGGATTCTTCATCATCAGTAAAAATCGTCTCAAAATGCTTTGTGAAACCCAAAACMATCCCTGAAGAATCAAAGCAACCATACTACTTATCACCATGGGACTACGCAATGATCTCTRTTCAATACATCCAAAAAGGTCTTCTCTTTCAAAAGCCACTTCATTCCTCCATTGATACTCTGCTTGAGAAGCTTAGAGAGTCTCTAGCCATCACTCTCGTCCATTTCTACCCTCTCTCTGGTCGCCTCTCATCGCCCAAAACCGAAAAACCTAATTCGTATTCTGTTTTCGTGGATTGTAACAATAGCCCTGGTGCTGGTTTCATTTATGCGACCTCTGATTTATGTGTAGCTAACATTGTTGGCTCTAAGTATGTTCCTCTTGTTGTTCAYTCTTTCTTTGACCACCACAAAGCTGTGAATCATGATGGACACACCTTGAGCCTCTTATCAGTCCAGGTTTTGTTATTTATCATTTCTTGGAAGGCTTTTTAGAGTTTTTTTTTAAATCGGTTTATGCAAAATCACTCCAAATGCTAGGTTGAATACTCCGTAAATGAGAGAAATGTTCGGTTTTTATTGGTTCAAAATAAATGCAATTTTGGTTACCTTGGTTACTTATTTATGGATTTTGTACATTTGTGCAGGTTACAGAATTGGTAGATGGAATTTTYATAGGATTGTCGATGAACCATGTTATGGGAGACGGAACTTCGTTCTGGAAGTTCTTCACTGCTTGGTCTGAGATCTTCCAAGCGCAAGAAAGCAACAAAAACACTGACTTGTGTCTCAAGAACCCACCGGTTTTAGASCGTTATATCCCTCAAGGATACGGTCCTCTCTTTAGCCTTCCYTTTAGCCATCCAGATGAATTTATCAGACCCTTTGAATCTCCAATTCTCAAGGAGAGAATGTTTTGTTTCTCATCAGAAACAATAAGATTGCTTAAAGCAAAGACTAACCAAGTATGCGGAACAACCTCCATCTCATCTTTCCAATCGCTAACCGCGGTTATATGGAGATGCATAACTAGGGTGCGAAGGTTACCTTTCGAACAAGAAACAAGCTGTAGACTTGCTGCTGACAACAGAGCAAGGATGTATCCGCCGCTTCATCCAGATTACTTTGGAAACAGCATCTCTGCTTTGAGAACGGCTGCAAAAGCCGGTGAGCTATTGGAGAATGATTTTGGATGGGCTGCTTTGAAAATACATCAAGTCATCGCTGAACATTCCAGTGAAAAGGTATCTCAAATGATTGATCAATGGTTGAAGTCTCCTTTCATTTACCATATGGATCGGCTTTTTGAACCCCTRAGCGTTATGATGGGAAGTTCCCCGAGGTTCAACAAGTATGGTTGTGAATTCGGGATGGGAAAAGCGTTGACGCTTAGAAGTGGTTACGCGCATAAGTTTGATGGGAAGGTATCGGCTTATCCAGGAAGAGAAGGAAACGGAAGCATAGATTTGGAAGTTTGTCTTGTTCCCGAGTATATGGAAGCTCTAGAATCTGATGAAGAGTTCATGTCTCTTGTTTCTGCTTGATTACCTTTTCCAAGATTTTCAATTTGTTTCCCTTGCTTATTCTCCTCAAGCTTTTTATTTGTTCTGTTTTCCAATAACCAGCATCTTTGCTCTATGTAATTCCAAATGTAACTTTTGGGATAGCAGTTGCAAAAAAATTCAAAACTTATGCATGTAAAACCTCAACAATCGCTAAACTCAGTCACACCCAAAAAAGTCGAAACC